TTTTTTTTTTTTTTTTTTTTTTTTTTTTTTTTTTTTTTTTGTTAATCGCTGGAACACATGTGCAAACTGATGTGTTTTTTTCCCCCTTGGTGCCTAAAGTGCTGGCTTCAAACCAAACACCAGGCCCAGGGTTTGCAGCTGTGAAAAAAAAAAATTCAACAACCTGTGGAATGTTTTCTTGCTTCTGAGAACTATAGTACTTTTTATTGCTCGGTAGAACACTTTCCAGGGCTGGCACCTACAGCATCCATCAGCCAACTGGGCTTCCTTTCCAATGGGTTCCAAGTAGAGCTTGGGCAGAGACTACTGTGGGGGGGGGGGGAAATAATTCTACAAATATTCAGTCGTATTTTTAAACAAATTCACTTTGGCCAGGTGCACAATTTGCTTCCCACAAACATTCGTGTGATGGCACTAGTACAAATGTTCATGGAGAACACGATTGTAGCTCGCACGCCCAAATACTCGTGGCAAAAATTCATCCAGATCCTTGTGGTGAAATTCATTTTCTGGGAGCGTTCACACTGTTCCAACCCAGGTACTATGGTGATGAAAGCTGGATGGAGAGGTTAGATAGAGGATTATCAGGATTATGCTCATCCATCTCAGGGAACAGAAATACCATGTGGCTTGTGTGCCCCTACAGCTTTGCCTTGTTGGCTGGTAGGAGAACACTGGAGAAGATTTAGTAAGTTTTAAAATGTTTGTGGTGAGTTTATTACTTATAAAAGCAGGGGATTCACATGCATTGTGTGGGCAGACTTTGAACGAGCTTCCTGAAAACAGGTCTGCCAAAGCATTCCCTGGGCCCCCAATGCACTTCAAACCTGAGCACAACACCCCTTACCATGCCAGTCTGCGGCCCCACACAGCCCTGCAAATGCACGTCAGTCCCAGACTGCATTGCCTGCTGCTCTGCCACCCCAACACCTTTCCAGAACAGAAATGGCCAGTCAGGATAAGCTGGATGGTGGTTACTGTGATGCAAACAAAGAGGGGACTGGGATGAAACCCAGCAAACTCATTCCACTTGTAACCTAAGAAAGGATTTGGACATAGACCTCCAAAGCGGGCAGGCGAACGCATTAATCCAAACTGACGAGCTCCCCCCTTCCACCATGGCTAAATTGTTTTAGAGAGAAGGCTCTCATTCCAAGCATCCCTTTCAGCGAGATCTCTTCCAGGGAGATAACGAGCCTGTCCTATCGGTACAAGGAACAGACGGTAGCTCATAGCGTGACCCACAATCTTCTACTTGAGCCCACAACCACAGGGACTATTGCTCAAGCATTACATTCCTATTCCCTGCTTCACAAGAACAGCTGGACTGAAAAGATGCTGAGAATCTCTCCAAGGTTCCAAGGAAAAGATATTAAGCTAGGAGGGGAGCCACAGGGCTATAATAAAAAGCCATAATAAACGAGAGAGGCCACTGAGTAGATTAGCAGCACAATGTTTGCTTGGCTTTTGGTTTCCTTTCATACAGCTTTATTCAACACACCGGGATCCGGTGAAGTTCTTTACCTTCAGAAAAGTTCTACTGCTTCACTATTTAAGACAGATCGACAGCAGTTAAGATGCTATATGATCCACGGTGCAAAGCTTTAGGGCATTACTAAGAAACAGGATGAATCTGAACTGGGTCAGAACACACAAACGACAAGACAAGAACATGTAACGGATTGTTACCTGTTGGAATCCTGTGTGGTTTTCCCATTGAATGACTAGTGTGCCTTAACACCCTACCTGAGAAATTATGGAAGGATTACAGCCAATCATAGGTCTCTGCTTGTTGCAGAAAATAATGAAGGAGACTTTACGGCTGGTATGTTCTTTTCTAGGTGGTGGATCATAGGGAAGTCCACACCCTTATGGCCACTGTTAAGTCTGGAACTTAAATAGCTTCAGATAAGTAAAAGGACACAAGCTGTACGTCAGCAACAAAAACACTCCTGTGTATTGTTTTTCCACAGACCGCGTACATTTAAGGTTCATAGATTTTAAGGTCAGATAGAAGCAATACAAACAGTTGGTCTGTTGCCATCTCATAGGGCCAAGTTTGGCCACTCTTTCTTCTGTCAAGTTCTACCTGACTCCAAGAGCAGTCCAATGATTTCAACTGAACACAAGTACTACTAAGATTGAGTAAAGTGACCCATACTTTTAAAGTAAGTGGTTTCTATGGAAAACTACTCAGAATGTTAACACGCAACGGGCTAGAGCGGCGGGTGGCATGTAAACCGCACCTCCCAGAGCTGGTCCCAATTTTTTCTTTAAAACTTTTTTTTTTTTTTAATGGAAAAATGGCTTTTTGAGCTAATGGAAATTTTCTCACCAAACTTTTCATTTTTGTCAAAAAAAAATTGGTTTGTTTATTTGAAAACCAAAAATCATGCTTTTTCAGTTTTCAATAACAAAAATGATGGAAAACCTAAAAAATCCACAAAGTGACAACGAACAATATTTTTTGTATCAGAGGGGTAGCCGTGTTAGTCTGGATCTGTAAAAAGCAACAAAGAGTCCTGTGGCACCTTATAGACTAACAGACGTATTGGAGCATAAGCTTTCGTGGGTGAATACCCACTTCGTCAGACGCATAATACGTCTGTTAGTCTATAAGGTGCCACAGGACTCTTTGTTAATATTTTTTGTTTATTTAATACATTTTCAACCCGTTCTAACACCACTTTAAGAGTAGCCCTGGGGGGGCACTGTGACTCCCTGACACCCCTCTGAGTCAGAATTCTTCCTTTGCTTCCTCCTAGCTGCAGCAGGGAGTAATTTACTCTTGGGCTATCCCAGCAGCACATACAGTACACATAGGCTGACACCGCTGCCTGGCCAATGAGTTGAGGAGGTGGAGCTAATCCATCCATTCCCGGCCAAACTGGGAGGTGGTGGAGAAAAGCAAGCCTGCAGTCTGCTTACTTCTGGGCTCCTGGATTCAAAGTCCACGTGGCCCATGCGTGGGTACAACCGAATTCCTATGCCCCCTTACCCTCTTGTGCCAGCATGTAATCCATGTCACTAACTGGCCCAAATGAGGCCTATTCTCCTTTCCAATACACATATGTACACTCTGCTACTGTCAGTGGGAACAAAACTTGACCCATATATGTTGCTTCTCTCTTGACACCATAACAGCCTGTTTACAAAAATGCTGGGCAAGAGTGAGACGTGTCAAAGGGTGTTTTGCTTGGTGGTACAGGGCATTTGTCCCCATTGAGCTCCAATGCGTTTCAGGAATGTTAAAAAAAAAAAGAAAGAAAGAAAGAATGTGAAGACCATTTAAAGGGCAAGCCGTCAGCAGCTGTGCCATCTTCCCCTTCAGCTGCTGGCACGTGTCATCTGCTGACATCACCTAGAACGAACCCAGCATCAGGGCATTTAAATTTTAAAGCACACTTGCCACAGCTGTTTCCACAACACTCTGTAGTCCCACTTAGAGCTGCTCCATGCTGTCCTTCTGAGTCCTCTCTAACCAGCTTTGTTACTGATTTTTTTAAAGGTTTTATTCCTCTAAATAATAATATTCCTCCGAGTTTTCCTGTGATTTTCACCCATCCCCCAATGGGTTCATTAGTTGCCAAGCTTCTTCTCCCAACAATCAGCAGCCTGGTCTTCCTCCCGACCATCAGCATTGCAGCCAAGCGAAGATTCCACATGGAAGCTATGGTTTATTTCTTCACTATGTTCTTTGTTGCGGTAAGAATTCCTTCTGTTTGTTTCATTGGCAATGTCCTATTTTACCCCTTTTCTGCAGTCTCCATTGGGAAACAAACATACGAGTGGGCTGAAAGATTTAAAAACAAACAAACAGGAATCTTATGAAATACTAATGGGAATCTTATGAAAACACCATACACTGGGAGGGAACATAACGTATTGCGTATCTGAAAAATATCCACTATTGGATGCATTTCCCACTGTGTATTGCCCTGAGTATCCTGAATGAGATTCTTCAGTTTATGGTAACACAGAGCAGTGATCATAGGGAAATATATTTGAATCCTTTATCGTAACGGCACATTTAGGGTGTGGTAGTGTCTGTCAGTTTGTCCGTTACAGTTAGTAAGTGGCCATCCTGTATTTTGGTTTTAAACTGTATTTAAAGTAAGCTGATGTTTTGTAATTTTAGACAAAAGCATGCGGTGGAATTATTGATTTTACAGTAGCTGAATTATGGTGTAAATTAACGCTGGAAAAGGGGGGGATTTATGGAGTAGCAGAGGAAAGATTGAGGGAAATGCCACAGAGTTATCAAGAAAGATTATTATTAACCTTCCATCTGGCAGAACAGTCTTGAAATTGTACCAGCTTAGACTGAAAACCTATTTGCCCTCCCTTCCCATGATAATAATGGGGGTAAGAAAGCTATTTTGTTCACATGAGCACACAGAAATAATGAATTCACTTGCTCTAGTCATGCAGGTGAGTAGGACTTTGCACAACTGTTCACTCTATTATTATATACACACACTGCTTCACTATACAAAATAGCATTCGCATCATCGACATAGTTACCTTTAAGAGACCATGGGGATGAGCATGGTATAAGAACCTGAACAGAACTGGATTTCTTCCACCATGCCCAATAACTGAACTAATATAATATTTAGCCTTTTTAATCATAGATTTCAAAGCGCTTTATAATGGCAAGTAAGAATCGTTACGCCCATGTTACAGATGTAGGGAAACGCAGGCACAGGAAGGTTAAGTGACATACCCAGCATCATCAAAGTACATCGGTGGCAGAGCTGGGAGTAGCACACATGTCTCCAGATGCACAATCCAATGCTCCATCCGCAGGACCACGCTCATCCCTCACTATAAAGGCCAGCCTTGTTAACAGGGGGAAAAAATCCTACTAGCATCTAAAAACCTACCAGACTGGCTAATAAAACTATACCAGGCCACGTAAACACATTCGGCACCATTTTAGGACCTATTACAACTCCCACTGAAGCCAATAGAAAACTTGCCAAGGACTTCAATAGGAGGTGGATTGGGCCCATAGAGAATAATCTGAAGATGCAAAATATTAAAGTGTAAGAAAAGGGAGACAGCTGCCAGGGCTGTCAGAGTATGTCAGGACAAGCAATGCAGTGTTGCAGCTGCTGCTGCATTGTATAGTCCCACTCGGACTCCCCCACAGGAAATTCTTCAGACCAGTGAAAGCATCTGTCCATCTTAGACAAGTGCTTCTACTTCAGCCAGAAATGCTCTCTCCAGCTCTCTCCTCCCCATCTCCAGCCTTCTCAAAGCCCAGCACCAAGCAGGGGGGGAAGTTATCTCAATGGCAAAAGCTGTCATAGAAAAGAGAACGGGCTGAAGAACTTGCAGCAATTCTCACCGTAAACGATATTGGGATCCCCAGAGAGAAACGCCAGCAAGCATGGTTTAAGGTCTATTTGTTGCCAAATGGGTAAGAAACCAAATCAGGAGAGGGGACCTAGTGGAGTCTAGTTGTCAGAGGAAGAAACTAGAGCTAGGCAAATACTTACGACAAAAGAATTCCCACAAATATGCCTTTGATTTTTCCAGTGAATTTCCTTTGCCTGTGCTCATCAATTGTGTATGAAAACATTTTGCAAATATTGTAGCGAATGAGTTTACGGGCAGGAATGTCCACTGAACCAGTGAATTTTAAGGGAATGCTGCAGAGGTTGAAACTCACCCTTATACGGCGAAACAGCACAAAGTGTAAATCCCATTTAGGCTCAGTTGTGGGCTGATCCCTGCCTGTGGAAGAATTTCACCCAGAAAACCCATTTTGAATTCATTCACACCGGAAACATGATCCCGAGAGTTAGGGAAAGGAAGCTCACCATGTAATCTGTGTCTCCATTCAAAACACCTTGATCATCAATCACAGATTCCGGCAATGAGCTGTTCACAGATCAGCTGCAGACCAAGACTTTCAGCAAACGATTTTTCACAATGAATTCATTAGCGAAAAGGATGCTTGTCTACAGGCAACTCGCAAACAGGAATAAAGGCAACATTTCTTGAATCAGTTATTGAATTAATCACCCAGCTGTAATCAGGACTCCTGGGTTCTGGTCCTGACTGGACCGCTGACTTACTGTATGTCTACTTTGTAATCAGAGATGTGACTGCAACACGTGTAGACATTTGATCTGGGCTGTTCAAGCCTGCCCAAGACCCTGGCTATGTATCTGAGCAGCTAGCCTACGCTGCTGCGGCTTCATTACTATTGTTATTCGAGTTAGCTAGTTCAGGTATGTCTACACATACTGCAGCCACACCTCTAGTTGCAGTGTCAGACATACCCTTAAGGTTGATCCAGTACCTATTGAAATCAAAGGGATCTCCTTTTTTCTTCAGCGGGCTTTCAATCAAGACTTTATGGCTTGATAAGGAGCAAAGATACAATGGAAACTAACGAATTTAATGGTCATGTTTTCATTTGTAACGTGCCTTTGTATTATCCTTTTTAATAGATTTACCATGCATGTGATGGACCTGGTTTGTCAGTGCTGTGTTTCATGCGATATGATATCCTGGAGTATTTCAGCATCTACGGGACGGCTTTGTCCATTTGGGTATCACTGATGGGTAAGCAAGAGTCTTTATCGGTTCTTAACATGTTGCAATATTTGTGGGTTGGTGTCTTAGGTACAGGACTTGTTGGTGTCTGTGTCACACTGGTTAGTGTGCTTCAGTCATGAGAGAGATGCTGTCTCCTCTGACCCCCGACTATCAGACCCAACTTTGAGATGTTCCCTTACGAAACCCAACCCAAGCTGTGGATTCCTATGATTTGAATTGTGCTAGGGCCTCAGGCCTATTATCACAGGTCAGAGTCCCATTGTGCTAGGTGCTGTACAAACTCCGAACAAATAGACAGTACCTGTCCTAAAGAGTGGCTGGAAAAGCTCTGGATCTGGAGACAAGCACTGATTCTTGACAGGTCTGTTTAGGTATTTGTACCACACTCCTTGCCCTGGAAGCCAAGAAGCCCACAGATGGATGTCCACCACCATTATCAACTCCTAAGCACATCTTTTTATGCCAGGGCTCATTTCTTCAAACTCTGGCAAACACACATAAGCAAATCAAAACTAATTTCTTCTAACAAATAAATCCCCCTGGTTTGTCAGGGGCTGATTTTGGCTGTGAGGAAATATCAGAGCGTGTTGGGAAATGGAAAAAATACCTCGTTACCCTTTTTTATTTAAAATCTATGGGTTTTGAGCGTTTTCATTTTTTCCTTTTCCCCCCATGTTTCCCATTTCCCTGCTTTATTTTTCCTTTTTCCATAAAGGGAAAAGAAAGGGCAAAAAAAAAAAAAAAGAACAAAAAATGAAGAAAAACAAAAGACAAAATTTTCCCTCTCCGATACTGTCCACACATAATTTGAAAAAACTTTTTCACAAGAATTTCTGATTTTGGCAAAAAGGCCAGTTTTCAACAAAAACATGTTTCATTCAAAAAATTCCAACCAGCTCTAGAATATATACTCTCTACCTTGATTCACATGAACGATTGACAAATCACTCAACTCTACCAACCTTCCCAATGCTCAAGTGAGAGTTTACACAGTCACATTCCCAACGTGCCTTGAGACCATTTTATCCCCACCTCTCTGGTCTCTTTTGATGGAAGGATGACTTGGCCAATCCCTGCTTTCCATGGCCTTTCAAGGCCAGGGAATCCAGAGCTTATGCAGCATTTACACAGAAGAGGGGGACAGGAGGTACTTCACCCCACAACAAGGAACATGATAAACCTTCTGTATGTTAAAATGAGTGTGGGAAAAGTTAATCATAAATATAGTTGAGCTCAACAACAGTTGGAGTATCAAGGGAAGGGTTCAGTTGGTTCCTAGTCTATCCATCATGTTTGAACTCTCCATAGTGATGACTTTAAAAAAATAGGCAAATAAGATTCCAGGGCCACTCTCCACTAGACTATAGCAATTTGAAGGTAAGTGAGATTTAATCTATATATCTTGGCTGGTTGCAGCTAGGTTGAACTTGATTGTTTTATTATTGAATTTTACAAAAAAATCAGAACTAAGAGGTTTAAACTATTGACCAGCAGGGAAACAAATTAAAATGCGGACATTTATCCCTGTAAAAATGTGATCCAAGGACATAGAAGGTGTGGTGACTGAAATGCGGGATAGCTTTTCACCGTGTTGCTTGTAAAGATTGAACACACATGTGCGTACGTCCAGACCCTTGGGCATGTTTCCTGGAATGCAAATCCAGGACAGCCATAACACAGCTGGGTAAGCTGGAAACGCATGGAGCCCACTGGGAGCCATAACTTTTAATCAGTTATTACCTGATTCTGTGCTAAACAAAAGCCTCTAATAATTTATTTGCATTGGCGACTTCAAGGTTCCAAACTTCAAGCAGGTGTCTGTGCAGCTTACGCTGCATCCAGAGCTAGTTAGCAGGATTCAGATCTTAGGGTGGACAGGGCCAGAATAGTCCTATAGGATCACATGTAGAAGATGGTGCAAAGTCGTTAGGGCGGAGGGCTCAAAGGGAAGAGAATAAGGAGGAAGCTAGAGATCCTACCACGGCTGAACCACTGGCTCAATTGTCTCAAGTGCCTTGGCGTGTCCGCCTGGAAAACTGAATATTACGTCGTTCCCCAGGATCTCCTGGGAAAGTGAAATCAACCACCACCCCCTGAAACCTCTAGAGTTTGGTTGGCACTTGCAAAGTCAACTAGGGGAATTTAGCGACACAAGGCCCACTGAAATTAATGGGAGCAGTGTGGCTAAATTCACCATCATCTTTGGAAATCTTAATCTTTCAAAAGTGTCTAAGTCAGGCAGGGCCAAACTGTGGCTCGTGAGCCGCATTCAGTTAAAGTCCGGCTCGCGGAGCTCCCCCTCCACACACCCCCATTCTCTGCCTACCGGGCGGGGGGGGGGGGGGGGGGGGGGCTCGGGGCTTCTGCCCTGCATGGAGGGGTGTCTAATCGCTTTAGCCCCGCAGGTGGCCATCGGGGCAGAAGCCCCAGGCCCCGGCAGGTGCCACCCCCTGGGGCTGGTTGTGCATGTCTTGTGGCTCTTGAACTTCTGAAGATTATTGTATGTGTCTCGGAGGGTCAGTAAATTTGGCCACTCTAATTGATTTAGAAGCCTAATTTCCATTTTCAAAAGGGACTGAATCCCTTAAGAGCCTAAATCCCTTTGACTTTCAATGAGACGCAGGCTCTTGAGTGCCTGCATCACTTATGAAAATGGAACTTAGGATCCTATATCTCTGAGACATTTGAAAAGTTTTACCCTTCGTCTCTTTCTGCAAAGGTGCCTTGGAAAGCCCCCCACACGAGACCTCTGAGCCATGTGAGCGCTTGTCTGCCCAGCCGTGGGTCTGAAATAATCGTGCAGTTTATATTCCCTACAGATAACACAGCAAGGCCTGTCTCACGCTAGGGTACTAAAGAACTAGATGGGCCCAAGTTCTGCCTAAACTATTAACAAGATTTCTGCAGTTGGATCTCCTCATAGCACTTTACTGGGAAGAAATTATCGTCGTGGCTAATATTGTTAGTGGGTCTGTGTTTGTACAGCACCTTGCACAATAAGGTCCTAGCTTATGACTCAGGCCCCTAGGCAGCACAGTAATACAAATAATTAATAATAATCACAATTATGTCATGCCACCATGTGTGACAATGGGAAATATTCCCTTTGTGCCACTGCCCAGTACAATACAATGCAGTCTTGTGCCGTTCCAAACCTTAATTGTTTTGACAGACAAGCAGAAAATGTCAGAGGCCAGCTTCCTACTGCTTCTCTCGGTCTGTAATTGATGACTTGGGGGAAGGAGGTAGCCAGCTACACAGTGCTAACTGATCCGATCCTGGGCAGTTTGTCAGCTGGGAAAGCCGCCACGTGAAATATTATAAAGCATTGAGTGGGCCATCAGACTGGATGAATATTCCTAGCCCTGTTTGTTCTGCGTGCAGAGAGGGCCAGGTGCTTTAGAACTAGCTGGTCTTAGATCGCTCCATTTTACAGTTGTTCTTAAAAACCTCCGATGGAAGCGATTCTACCACCTCCTTTGAAAGCCTGTTCCAGAGCTTAACTACCCTTGAAGTTAGATAGTTTTTCCTACTATCTAACCTAAATCCCCCCTGCTGCAAATTAAGCCCATTACTTCTCGTCCTACCTTCAACGGACGTGGAGAACAATTGATCACCATCCTCTTGGACAGCAGTTGGTGTCCCCTGTGTAAGATACATTTAGGAATCTCAGTATGTCCCCATTGCACCAAAATGTGCACCAAAGCCCTGTCTGCAGCTAGAATCTCACTCTCTGTGCAAAAGCTTCGCAGTGTCTCCTGCAGGTGTTCTGCTAACCTCCCCTTAACCCCTGCTTGCCTGGAGGCAAGTAGCTCTGGTGATCTCAGTGCTCTTCGATGCTATCTTAGATGCGGCACTGTAGGTGATTCTCTCACCTCTGACTAAAGCCGGCCTCAGTTGAGAAGGAAGGAAGGAAATGAACTGCTGAGTAGAACATTTTCATGAGACATTCAATTACCTTTTTTTTCCCCCTCAGAGAGCCTGGGAGTCAGGAGATCTGGGATCTACTCCCAACTCTGGCAGAGATTTCCTGCCCATCCTTGGGCAAGCCACTTTGCCGCTCTATACTTCACTTTCCCCATGCACTGTATAATAATACCAACCTAATAGAGATGTGGTGGGGTTAGGGTCAAATTCTCAGGGCTTCCGTCAGCCATGTTTAGCCCAAAGTGAACCCTTGGATGGAAGGTGCTGTTGAAACACCAAGTATCTGGAGGAAAATCAAAGCAATGGAAGATTAGATGCTCTGATCCTCACTTTGGTTTGTGCCTTGCAGCTCTGGCAGAGTTCGATGAGCCTAAAAGATCGACTTTTGTGATGTTCGGCGTGCTCACTATAGCCGTGAGGATTTACCATGACCGATGGGGATATGGCGTCTACTCGGGACCAATCGGGACGGCCGTCCTTGTGATAACCGTGAAATGGGTAAGCTGGCTACTTTACATGGGCTAAAAGTCACTTCTGGACAGAGAGCTGCCGAGTTCTATCCACCACATCAGTCCCACATAAGCCCTGAGTTCTGCTTGTACCCACCTCTCAGGCTACCATCAAAGAACAGATTGGGAATTTCCCAGTAAAGCTTTCAAGCTACAGAGAAGACACTGCAGGGGGAATAATTTTCTTTTCTAAACCAAAGTCTGCTGTGCATTATGACACTGGGGCTGGATTCAGAAGGGAAATGGAGTTATTCTAGGAGACGAATAAATAACTTTTCTTGTTCAATGAAAACGGAAAGCGGACAAGTAGCAAAAAGCTTTTGTGATAATTGCCAGATTTGAGTGGTCTGAGCCACTCTAGCGGATCTCATGTTCTTATGTTTCTAGTCATCAAGAATATATTCATGGAGTTTTTACAATAACCAGGAGGTCGTGTGGTCTGGTGAATTGCCCTGAAATCAATGGAAGATTTGCATAAAAACAGGTGGTACCGCAGAGCCATAATTCTGGTTGAACAAACACAGGCCTGATTCTGTTTTAAGGCTACACCACGTGGTTTCCAACTTCTGGGGGTAACTAGAAAACAGTGGGCTTCCAAAGGGCATATCATGCCGCAAAACATAGGTTGCCACAGGTCAGATTTATTAGAGAGAGTGTCAGAATTATTAGATATCAGAGGGGTAGCCGTGTTAGTCTGGATCTGTAAAAGCAGCAAAGAGTCCTGTGGCACCTTATAGACTAACAGACGTATTGGAGCATGAGCTTTCGTGGGTGAATACCCATTTCGTCGGATGCAGAGTTATTAGAGAGAGAGAGTGAGTGTGTGTGAGTAAAGTTGATAGAACATAGATTGTGTAAGCATCAAGCATCATGGGAAATTCAGTGAGCCAGGTCCCAAGTTAATAATGTCACTAACCTTCACCTAAAACCCTGCAGAGAGCTAATACGCCTTTATTAGTATTTATTGTATTACTGTAGAGCCCCTAGAAGCCACAACAAAGATCAGAGTCGCATTGTACTAGGTACTGTACAATGCAAACACATAGTCCCTGGCCCAAAGACTTACAGTTAGACATGCAGCAGCCAGCCCCATTTTGCAGATGGGAATTGAAGCACAGAGAGGACTAAGTAACTGGCCCAAGGTCATACAGGGAGTCTGTGACAGAGATGGGAATTGAACCTAGATCTCCTGAATCCCAGTCCACTGCCTTAAACACAAGACCAGCCTCCTGCCCAACCCAGAGAAATCTCATGGCTCACCCATCCCCAGCGTACTGTTCTCCATGCACATTTTAGAGGCCTCACACCCCAACCCTGAAAAACCAACATACCTTCGAGATAAAGATGGCCCTTCACCCAGACTGCCTCATTCCCCATGGTCCTGTGAAAACTTCAAACCAAACACGTCTCTCTTACAGGTGCCATGTTGGATATTCTTCATCATTCTCTTTTCATGGGTCTTTCACTGCCTGGCAGGTGTGTCAGCAGACTCCATATGTCCACGTTCAATCTTCATGGCGGGAAGCTATTCAATGAATTGGCCACCATGAAGATGGGACATGGACATATGGAGTCCGTTGACCCACCTGCCCGGCAGTGAAAGACCCATGAAAAGAGAATGATGAAGAATATCCTGGCATTAGAATAATATATGGCACTCCTCTGGGCAGTTGCATACGAGGATGGGATGCCTGCTTCTCAGTTATCCTGTTCACTTTCTAAAGCCCAAATTATAGTCAGTGCCTCTGGCAGAAATCTCCAGGGCACTGGGGACCTCTCAGCTCCAAAGAGCTGGCTTTAAAATCCTGTTTTCGATCACAAATGAATACGTGGATTGGTGTTTTAATCAGAGGACATTTTTGTCCACTATCCGGCATAGTCTCTGCTCAAGTGAACCTCTGGTCTGGTCCCAGGCATTAAGAGCTTTAGGATCAAAGAGAGTAACCCACCAGCCAGTCACGATCAGAAGCTTTGCTTGGTTTGCTTTTTACTTGCATGGGATCTTTCAGAAGCTGAACGATGACACTGAACGTGGGCTGAAAGGGCTTCACATGCTTTCTGTTCCCTTCCAGCTGCAGAAGATGAAAGAGAAGAGAGGCCTCTACCCAGACAAGAGCGTCTACACGCAACAGATAGGCCCAGGCTTCTGCTTTGGGGCGTTAGCACTCATGCTGAGATTCTTTTTTGAGGTACCTGTTTGCACAATAAATTACGGTGATAATGACAGGGTGTGAAGGATATTCCCAGGGTAAGAGGATCTCTGGCTCAAATACAGCCCAGGCCAGAATTCATCTAAAATTATTGCCTAGTCAGCGGGTCTTAGCTTAGTCCAGGTGCCAGCGGACAGGTGTCTTTTTCACATATAAAAACCACTGCCAGAGGCTCACCTGAGCAGACACTGTGCTGAGTGGTGGTTTAGGTGCCTACATCCCTGTTTTGGCTCCCTGCGATCCCCAAGACTCCCGCCAAACCCTGTACGCCCCCAAACTCACTCGGCACCTAAGTGTCAGGTGAAAGGTCCCTTGGTGCCCATGTTACTGCCTCTGAATGTGTGTGTGGCTGCCTCACCCTAAGCGTCTGGAGACCTATCTCCCGCCTAAGCCCCAGAGCAACTCACGAACCAGGGGAAGCTGGGTATTCATCTGCCTTAATCGTGTGTGGGGCCCGATCCAGTAGACATACGCAGAGGCCACGTAATGGATTGGGCCCCATACGAAACCCTGCTGAAGGAGGAAGGGGTGGGGCCACTACCCAGCAGTTAGAGTGCTCACCTGGACTGTCAGAGACCCAGGTTCAATTCCCTTCCTTGTCGGTATCTCCCATTGGCTAGCTTAGGCAGCTCCCCACCTGGCGCGTTGGCTTTTGTGGATTGCATTCTAAGGCCCCTATCTTCCCCATGCATTTTATTGGCTCCTAGGTGCCTCACTCAGGCTTTGTGGATCGCAGTGCTGTTTTCTAAGCATCTAAAAGGTGGGCTCTGCGACACTGCGTATTGCAACGCCTAAATCCCTTCATGGATCCAACCCTTCGTGCCCTAACTCACTGCACCACCACGCCCGGGGAAGCTCTGCTAGAGGTGCTAACAAAACTATTTAAACTGACGGCTTCTCACTGTGGGCATGCCACCCTCTCACGCAGCTCCCCACGGGAATGCCTTCAACCCAGTGCATTGAACAGCTTTGAAAGGAGAAAAACTGGTCTATCAATAGAGCCCTGCAAATCTGAAGATATCCGCTTTATAGCCACGGATATCCATGGACTATGTTTGCAGATTGCAGATCGGATGTGGATACAAATTTTGTATCTGCGCAGGCCTCTATCTATTAATTGTAACCAGAGTTGGGCAAAGAATTGACAGCGAATAATTTAGTTGATAAAGATTTTTTGCCTCTTTTTCCAGTTGTCTGTGGACAGCTCACAATTTTCTCCGGTGGGGGGGGCCTCTTGAAAATCTGGCCATGTGTGATTGAGCCAAAGGTCAAAACACATCAGTGTCAGAGTGAGGAACAGAACCCAGGAGTTCTGATGAAGGGCCTGATCCATTGTCCACTGAACTCAGTGGAAGGACGCTGATTGACTCCAATGGGCATTGGATTGGGCCCTAAATCTTCTGTTGTAACCAGTAGACTATACTCTTTTCCTGTATAGAAGGCCCCACGTCACCAATGTCCATGAAGGAAAGGGAGAGGAATAAGATAACACTCTTGACACAGCCTCTAGCTGAGCCTGTGTTCAGCTGTTGTGTTACTGCCATTTTGTGCATTGGGAGCAAATCGATACGACTTCACAGGGATGCCAGAGGATTATTTTTCAAAGCTTTAAGTAATTGCAACTTCTAGCAGAACGTAAAAGTGTCACTTAGCACAAATTCCCCTCCCCCCCATCCACAATCTCCTCCTTCCTTCTGCTTGAGCTTCTCCTAAGCACTGTAATGAAACACTTCATTCAAGAGCAGGGAAATGTGCAAATCTGCCGGCGTTAAATCCACTTTACTTTTCCACCATTGCCCGTTTAAGGCTGGAAGCCCTTTTTCAACACTGAAGGGAGGCAGAGGTCTCAGGATCTCATTCCTGGGGTGGTGGGCGTGGCCAGTGTTGCCCAGATGGCCTGTAACATGGTGAAAGAAGAGGGGACGGGTAGGCCGTGTACACAGAGCATTTCTCAGTGATGCTCCTCGAAGGGCGAGATTTTCCAAAGAGCTCGGTGCTCTCGTTGAGGCACCTGAATAAAGGTCCCATTTTCAAAAGTCCTCTGCATTCATCCTGGCCAAAATAGAAGCCAATCTCTTTTGGAAACTTGGTCTTGTTACGGAGGCAAACCACACTGGGTCAGGTAGTTGTGAGCCTATTTGGACACAGCTCCTTTGTGGGAGACCACGAGTAGCAAATATGTTCACACCATAAGGGTGAAATTACACCAGAAACCAGCCTCATGAGGGCATATTCCATGTCTGTGGGGATTGGCCAATACTGGGTCTAAGTTCAGGCATACCAAAGCAGTTGAAGGTGGCTGTGCCATCTTAGGTGAGAGGTACTGCAATTTCTGGCCGTTAGGATGATTCAAAAGGCGTTGATAGTGAGTTGCTAGATGCTATCCCATGGTCTCTTAATCTCAGAGCCTCAAGCCATACTGGTATCTCTGTGACACTGCACACGGCACATCTCCAGAGCTTCCCACACAGGAGGCTCAAGCAGCAACAGCCAGCCAGAGCTCAGCAAAACGTGCCACAAACAGTCCACCTCTCTTTTGTTTTCCCTTTCTGTGAGCATCCATGTGACTGGCCTTTACTAGCATGAGTGGCCCTCAGAGTGCAACCTTTCAGCATGCACATCCAAGCATCAGCAGAGAGCTAAATGTAGTACAGTGGCAGAGAACTCATTTTAAATCTGGTTCCTGCAGCAGGCATTCACACCAGAAATCTGCTGATGGGTCTGATCCAAAGTCCACTGAAGTCAATGGAAAGACTGCTGCTGACTTCAATGGGTTTTGGATCAGGCCCTATAAGAGCATTGCTCATCCAGTCAGGGAACAGAAATAACACCATGTGATTTATTTGACCAATCGCAACTAAGCAGCACAGCTTGAATTTCAAATAGCAAAGCACTGAGTGAAGGAAAAAAGGCTGAATGGGGTCCCAGGGCAGAGAACCATGGGATTAAATCTGTCCTGGGTGTTTACGAAATATACTAAAATTTCAGAGATGTGAAAATCTTGAACCCAGAGAGGACCCAAATCCTCCAGCAGTGGAAACTCTCACTGACGGTCTCTTTGGTTGCAGGAGTGGGATTACACCTATGTGCATAGCTTCTACCATTGTGCCTTGGCCATGTCCTTTGTCCTGTTGCTGCCCAAGGTGAACAAGAAGGCAGGGAATGCAGGAAACCCCGCCAAACTGGACTGCTCCACTCTCTGCTGCTGCGTGTGATAAGATTCTCCCCCTGCCTGGAGACTGGGGCGTCTGTATCTCAACATGCACCTGTTCACCACCTTGAAGGACCGTATGAAAGTTATGCAGCACTCGCTCTTTATTCCAGTCGGGATCGTGACCAGAAACAAGCTGCCAGCTGTGAAACTTTTTTTCCTACGGTGGAAAAGAATTCCACTGCCACCCCCCCCACACCAAAATGCAGGTTGTTATAAATTTTTAATTTGCTGATGAACAAAACTGGTCCTATTCAACCTGAAAGGCCTTGTCTCTTGGCCATCATTCATACCAGAGGCTTCCATGTGCCCATGTAGCCAGCTGATAACTTTCTCCGTAACTGTGTGTATATTCCCCAAAGAGAAACTTTTGTCTACCTTAGAGAAGTCCTGGCTGGCAAGTGATCCTGTCCATTGGCTACTGAGTAAATCCAGCAGGTCTTTGCCTCCCCCAGAGAGTTCGGTGGGCCACATCTCCCTATGGGGCATCACATTTCGTTTGCCTTTGGAAATGAGCGTTAATGTTGCACTTTGCACACTTGCAAGTGTGAGTTTGCTAAGCCTGAGTGGGTTTTTGCTTTTTGTAACACTGAAATAACAGAGCCTGTATTTTTGCTAGAAATTTACTATTTTATTTACAGCTTGTCTTAACATTATATGTTTAACATGTTGATTTTGTAAGTCTGGCCCAACTGAACCTTTAACACTGTGATTTGGGTACAGAGCAGATACCAGAGTTGAGGGTCACACCACTACCCTAGCCTTAATGTCATGATTAGATGTTTAGAGAGAGCCACGAATGTACAGGGCACCTTACACAGAGAGAGGAGACAGGATCCCTGACAAACACAGGAGAAGACAACTGTGCAGAAGGGGTGAGGGGAAGGTTTGTGAGGAATTGACTGAAGAGGAATGTGAAGGACGAGAGAGGACAAAGAGAGACTGTCCCAGATGTAAAGAGCAGCATGACTATTGGCCCAAAGGCCAGGGCCCTGAATGACCAAGGAGGCCGGCTGAAATCTGAGGCTACATACACCTTAGATGGGAGAGGATCTGAATCCAGCCTGCTGCTCTGAAGGTCCTGCGGAGGCACTGGCAGGGTTCCGGGGAGGGGCATGGGTAGCGTAGCTTGGAACTCTGATGCACAGAGCCTCCAGGTCTTTGTTCTCCCGTCGACTCTCTCAGCTGGTGCCTGGAGCTCTTGCAAATACTGAGCAAACCCCCGATGCTCTGGCTTCGCTCAGACTCACTCCTCACTCAGCCAAACTGCTCGGCAAAGTCAATGGCAGTTTTGCCCGAGCGAATGAGAAGCTGAAGGATTTGGCCCCCGGCTACATCCTCTCCTCTGCCAAATCCACTCCGCCTCAGAGTGAGCGGCAACACTGGGCACTTTGTGCTTGCGAACCTGTTTGGCTCACACATCCACCAGGTGCGCTTGCACAGAAGCTCATTAGTATGTAAACTACATGGAAAATTAGAGGCACAGAAAGAAGCTCCTGGAAGGGCGGGGAAGAGCTGTAACCCTATAACATCCCATCGAATAGACTATTTACTCTAGCAGAAGTGTATGATTAATTTAGACTGTCTGGGAGAAAAGCCAAGACTATATGTCATGGACAATTAGAGTAGTATTGATATACAGTGATGTCCATTGAAGGCCTGCCTTAAGCCTGGGTGCCTTGGGAACAGAACTCCATGGGGGTCATTCATCAGAGCAGCCTCCTGCTTGCAGGGCGACAACCAAAAATGAATGAGCTTCCAATAAAAACACAAATAAATGAAAAAGCACAACGGGCCCAGCCGCCACTGAGAGACTGGTGCTGCCAGGGTACCACCAATGCTGCTGTTGCCTCCAGGTACACACAGACATCCCATAGTCTTGTGCCTACAGCAAGGGTCACATGCAGGGCTAGATTTCCCAGCTTATCACTCAATCAGACACCTATACAAGTGGTTTTCCAAAGAGATGAGCATGGTGGGTCCCCTGGTTGCCCCATGCTGTATAGCCTCTGGGTAGCAGACATGCCCACCAGGCATTCACATTTTGTCCCTTGCAAGCATGGTTTTTGAAGTGATCCTTCCCCATCTAGAGGTTGCTCGGAGTGCCCATTAGATGGCTCAGATGTCTTCGTTAGAGCACATGGAGGTCTTAAGGTTATTCGGGGGAGAGGAGGGCTCTTACCCGCAGCATGCGATAAGCATTCCTGCCTAGCGTCCGAAGGAGCATTCTGCAAAGGAGCACTGCCCAGCCCTTAGAAATCTGTGTCAAATGCAATCTTCAATAGCCAATGAACAAACAGAAGACCGCACCCAAACAGAATACATTTCCCATGCATGAGGGACCACAGCCTCCTGCTTAGGAAATGGATGATCTTGTGGCTACGCTGCTGGATTGGAAAGCAGGTGCTCTGCCACCGGCAAGTCACTCGGTCTCTCTCTGGCTCAGCTCCTCATCTGTAGAAGTGGGACAATAAGACTTCCCAACCCCCGTTCAGATACTAAAGTTATTGGGGTCTATACAAGTACCTGCATCAATCATCTAATCTTAACTCTAGGTTTTAAACGAGCACACATTTTTAAAGGACGCCCGACAGCCAAACGTACCGTACAATCCAATACCAACTCAAAGCTACCTGGGACAATTGGCCTTCAGCTTGCATCACTCCACCCAACCCCCAGCTGTCTCTTTACTCACCTGCTGCACCTGGTCCTAACCGTAGATTGTGAGCTCCCCGAAGCACAGATTGCCATTGTTTTGGCCCCTAGCACAAAGAGGCCCTGAACCCTGACTGGGGCCCTAGATGCTTCTGCAATATGAACAATCAGCGTCACCATAAGCATGAGCTCTGGGTAGAGCATCAGCTGTAGTTTAATTTGCTGGATTTATGAGCATGCTGCAGAAAAAGAATTTCAACGTAACCATTTGCCTGCATTTAACTTGCCCGTTCTGCCATTGTTTTTTTAAGGAGGGTGGGGAGGAAAACCTGTTATGGAAGGCTTTAAAAAAATGTATTTGTAGCACAAGGAAGTGGACTAGTTCCTACAGAATTAAAGTTTTCTACTAAACGTGTATTATGGACCCATTGGGACCAAACAGCATGTGCCTTCTACAGACCTCCATTTTCAAAAGCCACTAGTGATTTTCGGGATTTTTTTGAGACACTTTAAATAAATCTGATTTTCCGGAGGCGGGTGCTCTGTATTTTCTGTACATCAGGCCCCTTTACACTGTCTCAAGTTAGGCCCCCAAAATCACTAGTCCCTTTCAAAAAAATTTAGGCCACATTTTTTAGGGAAAAAAAACACATATTACTGAGTCTATCAACTGGAGCCAATGAAACAGTTCCAAATACAGACACTTATCACTTAAATACAGACACAGTACTCTTCTTAAGGTAGCCCTGAGGGGCTACCACTAAAATTGGGCTGCCCTCTGCTAGGCACTCTATATACATACAGTAAGAGACGGCCAATTACTTGGACAGAATGTGCGCAAAGCACTCTAATGTCCTTACTAAGAGTTGTTACATAAATGCAATGTATTATGATTACTGAATGCGAGGAAACAAATGGATCCATAAAGGCATGGGAGTCAGACATGCTTTCAAAATATGTTAGGCGTTTCAAACAAACAAACAAACAAGTAGTTTGGCAAACTCAGGGCAAAGAAGCGAAAGCACGGCTAAGTCAATTAAAGCTGCATGAGCCGACCAAGCTGCTGCTCACACCTGCCCTGTAGTTAGGTGTTATATAAAAAAAAGTTTACCGGTCTATTTATAGTAATAAAATACCAGGCAAGGGACATTTTCCCCCTTGTGCTGATGCAACAGGGATCTGCACTGACTGTGCAAACCTCCAAAAAAAGAGAAAAAGCACTTACCCTGGCAACTGCTGTAATATATGGCAAGGGGGTCTCTGGAATAGCAACTGCCTCCTTAAAAGGGACACAAAAGAGCAGAAGGATGTAAAAAACCTGACCCTTTATTCAGAACGATTAGGAGATAAATATTTAAAGAAGTTAAAGGAGCTCAGGGGGAGATTTTCAAAGGACACAAAGGACAGATAAGGAGTCCAGCTTCCATTGAAAATCGCTGGGAGCCTCGAGTGAGACTTTCAATGGCACCAAGGTGACTTAGGAGCACAGTGAAAGTCAAGGGCACCAGTGCTCCTAAATCACTTTGTTGCATCTGAAAATCCCACCTCCCATTCATGCCTTTGAAAAGCTTCATACACACATGCAAGCTCGGTGCAGCGGCATCAAAGGGGGCTGGACTAACCCTATGCCAGTTTAAAACACAAAGGAGGCAGAAGAATTATCGAGGGTGGCACCGTGGAGAGAATCAGCCGGGAACAATGAGCAGAAAGGGAAATTTACATTGAACATCCGGGGACATGTCCCAGCAGGGAGCTCTCAAAGAGAGTGGGATATTTCACCCCAGGGAAGGAGCAGATGCCCCACTGCTCGGGACATTGCAAACCACTCTGCACAAACTACTCTTTAATTCCATCTCTATCTGTTCCACCCACCCTCCGTGCTGCTGTTGCTAAAGGGGGACAGTGTGGGACCTTCTTGGCCTTAAAAGCAGCCCTCTACGTTGGCAGGACGGCGTGGGGGAAGCTGGCTCTGCTGCTGCCCAGGCTGTCCCTGTTCTACCGATGCACAGCGGACTTTGGCAAACGAAACAAAACAAAAAACCATGGCAAAACATCCAGATGTCAGGGGCCTGAAGTCTGGGGCCCCAATGAGAAAACTCTGCTGCCCGTCTTCGGAACACATAGCAGGAGCGTCCCTGGGGATCTGAACGGCTACAGCAGGGCCTGGGGGGAGGGTGCCTCAGCCAGTTTAAGCACAAGCAGGGACATTTTCAAAAGAGGCCACTAATTCTGCATGTCTCCAGTTTTGGATGCCCAACTGGAGACATCCTGGGCCTGATTTTAATGGGTGCCTATCCTGGTTAAAGCCAGTGGGAGCTCAGCACCTCCAAAAATCAGTCTCAAGGTTGGACAGCCAAAAACCAAGGCAGCCGGAAACAGAGGCCGCTGTAGAAAATACGGCCGCTGAGCTTTAAAACTAGGAGGGAGATTTTCAAAGGCACAAATGGCAGCGAGGTGGCCCTGTCTGCTTCCTGGGGACAGCAAGGTGCTCACCGGCCATTTCAGCCACTGAGGATCTCCCCCAATGTCTCTGGGAGCTTCCCACCCCGCCCCGGCCCACACAAGCAGCTGCTTTCTGCAATCGTCACCCAGCCAAATTCTGGTCTTGGTTATGCCAGTGCAACTCTACTGACGGCAGTGGAATTGCCCCAAGGTAGCCGAGAGAGCAGAATACGACCCCACTGATGTCAAGGAGATGTGCCCATGCCAGGGCAGAGCTGGGAATGTAGGACTCAGCCATAAAGGCTTGATCCCAATCTCCCTGAAATCAAGGCAAAACTCCCACTGGTTTAAATGGGGCAGGATCAGGCCCCACATACGTGACGTTGCTGACATGCAGGACAATACCCATAGTGCCATCCCCTACCACGGGTGCCAATATTTCCTATAAACAGATAACAGAACAAAGCAAACCTGCTCCCCTCTTTACCAAGCAAAAGTCAGGCTTTCTAATGAGAGGCACAACAGCCGAATTCTGTATCTCGGAGGCAGGATATCCCATGCAATACAAATGCAGAGAAATATTA